TGGCCATCGCTTGAGTTGAAACTGAACGGGAAGCGGCGAGTGGGTCGTCAGTACGAGGGTGACATGGAGGAGAAGTTCATGTGAAGAGGAGATGAAGGCATTTGAGAAGACTTGGAGCCAGTTGATGAAAACGTTGGCAGAAAACCAAACTCAATGGAGACGTGCGGAATTAGAAGGAAACAATATTAACAATAATAATTGCTTATGCTCAGTACAGTAGGTTTCTACACGTATTTCAGAGTAATAAACCTTCGTTTATCCTTTGAGATTCTGACTGATTGTGACATTCTCACTAATATGCATCTTGTAGGTGTGTAACAATGTTGCTTCAATAAACCAAGGGGTTAACTTCCTTTAAATTTATTTCAGTGATGGTGATTGGTATTTCTTGGCTGTGAATCATTGTCTTCTCATGTTTCACTTGAAGCTCTGTCTTCACTGTTTCTTCTGTGAAGGTCAGTTAAGTAAATCTCTTTCAACAAGACTTCTATATAAGTTGTTCAACTGTCTAGCTTCTTAAAAACTTGAAGGCTTCTTACTCTTCTATGCTTTTCACTATCGAAGAGGGACAGAATTCTGCATTTCACTTCTTAGATGTGATGCTAGATGCAAGAGAGCATGACACGTTATCGGAAGTTAATATTTACGGGGCAGTACACTAACTTTAACACTTGGGCACTTCTAGGTGGGAAGAGAAATCTTATCCGTTCTCTATGCTTTCAGAATTCGGAAAATGTGCCCTATAGATATGGTAGGTATGGAACTAGAAAGGTATTGCACAACTCTCTTAAATGATGGATATCCTAGAGGGTTTATTGACAGAAACATTAAGAAAGAAACCCTCCTTAACAAAATTACAGTATTAAAAAAAGACACCATTTATTGGTTTGGCATTGCTGAAGTAATTATTTTGTTATTATTATTATTGTTCCCTTGGGTTCCTAGTGGAACATAGGGCTTCAACTGCACGTTTCCGCTTTCCACTTCTGTCTTCTACTGTACTCTTCACGTGTAATTATGTTAGTTCATACTGTTTCAACTTCTCTTCACACGATCTCCTCCATGTCACCCACCCTTGCACTGACGTCCTACTCGCCGCTTCCCTTCTGGCCTGGTTCCACTCGAGCAATGGCCTGATGCGCGCGCCGTGCCACCCAGTGGCCTCCTCAGCGAGTGTCCAATCCATTTCAATCCACTTTCTCCTGCATATTTGTTGGTTGGCGATTGATTCTTGATTTGTTTATTTGTTCCCATAGTTTGTTGTTGGTGATTCTTTGCGACCCGGCCATCTGAATTTCAGTATAGAGCGAAGATCATTTCGTATTTACCAGCCGAAATATAATTTGACAATGCGTTAAGGATAAACTATATCACTATTCTTCCTACACGCTTCGTACACGGTTTGCTTTATAATGAAAGGGAAGCATAGGACGCAAAATAAATACCTTAATTTGTGAACACCCTTTCTGGAGTCAGGTCATTCAGTTCCATGTGATTGATCCTTTTTAAAGTTATTTACAGAGACCAAATCCAACCAGTGCAAAAGCTTACGTTTTCTCCACTTATGCATATCCGAAGCTATAGTTATGCATGAACAGAAACCTAAATTAAAAAGTTTTGCCAAACCCTCATTTTCTTCGCCTTGAATTCATTCTAGAATTCACTTCACCTTTGCTGTCTTTACTGTTATCATCATAGTACTGTGAATTTTTTTTCTAAGCAATACTTGATCTACCATTTGTTTTGAAATCTTTATACCAGTTCACTTATTTAAAAAGCCTTAAAAATTTTGTAATTCATTCACTTCAACTCTGCCTCAAAGCCTAATATAATATCTTTTCTAAACTATCTTTATTCTTATCGTATATATACGATATGGATTGAGCAATCTCTAGCGCACCATTCAGTGCCTCCTTTTTCCATAATATAAATATGCGACTGTACAGTAAACTTGAAAATGAAGTTATTGGATTGAGAAATATTACTTTGTTGGAGAGAAAATCACTGTGATTGACCCAGGTTTCGTGCTAGTTGGTACTGTCACCGGTCAGCAAGACAAGTGCATCTGCAACCTTGGAGGAACAAATCATGTCCTTTCTGAGAGTTGAACTAGCGTCAGCCAGTGAGTGTTGCGGTCATACACGTTACGGCCACTGAGCTAATCAGGCTCGTGATTGACATCCTGTAAGATTGTAATGAATACTTTAATTGGACACTTGTCAGTAACTAGTGTGATGTGTCTGGCTAGTCCTAATCCTTGGTACAGACTGAATTCTATCAGTCAGTCAGGTTTGCAATGTGGTCACCATGCCACTAGGTAACTCACCTTGGACCTATGTTTCATGCATTCAACTATCTAATATCATCAAAATCAATGTGCAAAGTGATGGCAAGCTACCTTGTTTGTTGAAGGCCACATTGCAAACCTGACGGATAGAATTCAGTCTGCACCAAGAGAAGGGACTAGATACGTCACACTAGTTGCTAGTGTCCAATCAAAATATCCACTACAGTCCTACAGGAAGTCAATCACGAGACCGAATAGCTCAGTGGTAACGTCTCTGACTGCAGGCGGCACTGGGTGACGCGAGTTTGAATCTTAGAAAAAACATGAGTTCCTTCAAGGCTGTCTCAGATACGCCTTGCTGACTGGTGAGTGCCAACTAGCAAGAAACCTAGGTCAGTCAAGGCTTCCTGTGGCCGGTTGCCTCCAACCATCTAATATCACCAAATCAATGTGCACCGTTATGGCGAGTTACCTAGAATTCTGGCCACATTCCACACCCTGAATTCAGTCTGCACCACAGAAAGGACTAGCCAGACACATCACACTAGTTACTAGTATCCAATCAAAATTTTTAAAAATCACTGTGTTTTTCCTCATAGATGTATTTCGCGATTTTATAAGTTTGCCAAAGACGGCTAATTCTGTCACGGGATTATTAATTCAGGCGATAGCTAAATATTTTAATTTGTAGCCCTGACTGATGTGATGTATGAATTTTTCACTGAAAATGCGGGCATATCCCACCAGAAAGTATCCACAGTTCAACACTACAAATTTTACCCAGCACCTTGACCATGAGATCATTACAAGAGAGTCCACTGGTCTACGATACCCTTATTCTTTCGAGTGGTAATTTGTAGCCCTGTCACTAAGCAATTAATGAATCATTATTGAGTTTCTCTTCCCATATCCAACTTTGTCGATGCGACTATTTATAAATTCGCCCTGGGAATTCAGACGACTTGATCATTAAGTGACTCATATGGATCAGAGAGATGTTGAAGAAAGATGTTTTCTCTTATTATGCACACTCTTCTCAGAAATTGATCTCAACTATAATTCAGGTTATGAGACAAGTCACACGCATACATATACAGTCAGCAGATATCATCGATTGGTATTTCTCCTCATACTGAACTTGAAGAACCCAGTGTTTGTGACTTCTAACTACAATTCCAGACAAAGTGACTCCTTGTTTCCAAGTGTAACTGATAGCTTCAACAACACATGTACACTTTCTTTTATTTTCTGCTGTCCTTTTAACCTGCACCTACGACGGGCTATAATCTCTCATCTACTCCCTCTCACAATCACCTCCATTTCACTGTCGCACCACAAACACACTCGTCAATTCTCATTCAGATCCCACTCAACCTATAGACTATATTTTGCGGCATTTTATTCGACGGCCACCTAAATATATGCTCGATCCACCCATCTCTATCTTCTTCGACATATTTGTTGAGTAATCGGACCTCGCCTGTTGGTTTGTTCCACTACAGAGTTTCTTCCTGCTAAACATTTCTGACCGGCCAGCTGGGAGGCCATTTGATATTCAGTATGCAGGCAGTCAGCCAGCCAGCCAGCCAGAGAAGATGCATCTGTGATAAAAGTCTGTAAGAGGCTATTGGAAGTACTTTTCTTGACTTACGCACAATGCATGTTTCTGACTGGCGTACGGCAGAACCGACTGACACATTTATGTTGAACAGAATCTAAATCTTGTTTTTCATGTAATTGAGTCAGTCAGTGAAGAAGATTTCCAGACTGGTTTCAGACTGATGCTGTCTGGCTGCTGTTGTTGACATCTTCATTCGTGTCATGTGTCTGCGGTTGAAACTATGCTTCCTAGGTAAATGAAGAAAGAAAGTGACCTCTGTCGAATTTCTCCCGTTGATGGTGATTGGTGCTGATTGTTCTTTCTGCTGTAGTCGCTAGTGGTCTTTGTTTCCCTGCACGTCTTTGAGTCTGTGTGACACTGGATGTAATAAATCATCCACACACGAAATCCCAATCTTTTTTATTTGAAGTCATCTTATCGGTCAGTACAGCGTATTCGTGCTTTTTGTTCACTCCTGGTGTACATACAATGCAACTTATAATCCGATCTATCACAATTAAGACTATCTTTCGTGGTTGATAATATATAGACAACCAGCCTTGTCTTACTCCTTTGTGACTTCTCTTTGAACGCCTCGCCGAGTTTTCCGTTGTAGATAACCGGACATTTCGCAGGCATTGTCATATTGTGGTGAGAGCAGGCCGTGAGAAAATATGAGCAAGGCTGATTCAACAACCAATCACAGCAAAGTTAACGTGGCAAAATATGATTCGCAGATAGAGAACTCTATTTGTCGAGGAATCCCGAAACAACCAATCAGAAGCCTGCGTTTGTCTGCCTAACTTCTGATAAACAACCAATCAGACGACTGCGCTTGTCTATAATAATGTATGTGAAATATGTATAAATACGTGTTGATTTTCATAATAAAACGATCTGTTGCCTGGCCCTTGTCTTCTGTTGTTACAATATGACCAGTTGTTAAATTAGATTGAGTATTAAGATAAATTTACTAATTGTTGGTTTGTAGGAACTTGATTGATTTTATGTTACTAAATGAGTGTTGCAGTCAGATTGTTTCATTTCTCTAAATTCCTCCTAATTCTCTTAATCTCTCTCTGTCTCTCTTTGTCCGTCTCTCTGTGTGTTCAGGTATAATTACTGGTGTTTATTATGCAGTGGGCACATTATTAAACAATATCCTTTTGGAATATTTTACTGTAAGTTGAGCCTTTATCATTTTTTTTGTTTGTTTGCTTTGTAAAGTTGTTTATCTTTAACTATATAGAAAATCAAAACAAGTGGTAATTCAGCGAAGAGACTCTCTCCAACAACGAATTTATCATCAAGCTGTACAGTCGTATTATCACTAATAATAGTGATAATAATAATGACGACACCAACAATAAGGTGTCTTAATCATCAGTAGTAATTCCATACAAAGAAGGAACCTCGGAAACCATACGCAGAATGCTTAACAAGGCAGGCAGGAATAAAAGTGGTTGGGATTCAAACCAACCACAAACTCAATTAGAAACAAGCTTTTTCGGTTAAAGAATCAATCCTGTGGAGCCAATTAAACAAAACAATTTAGTTTATCTAATACCCTGCAGTTATCATTGTCAGGTCAAATACATAGGTCAAACTAGTAGAACAGGGGTAGTGAGTCAGACTAGCCGAACATAAAAACCTAGCAGTAAAGTCAAGATTGGTTGACCCGAATAAGATAAGAAATCTAGAGAATAGTTCATCTATAGCACTAGATGCAATCACACACAACCATACAATAGGCTGGATGGGATAAAATAAGAGTTTTAAAGTCTAATGCCACAGGGTGGACGGAGAGATTGGTAACAGAATATTTGTTTAACGAATCAAATGTAAATATATGTAATAGTAATAATTCAGCATCTGTCCCGGATATCTTGGAAATTCTACTGCGCCTACGACAAATAGGAAAAGACAAAGAAAACTATAAAACTAAAGTTTCTAAGTCGTTTGATTATAATTGTTGCTGTGATTATGAACAATAAATTTTGTTCGAAACGTCATCCAGTATGTAATAATACTCTTTCACTGTGTGATACATCTAATAAACAAAATAAAATGGAATTAATTTATACCACAGTGCTCACGTTTTACACATATTTTAAGAAGTCATATCCTATAAGGCAAAACAATTACAGGTGTGAGTGCATAAACTAATAATGATAGTAATAGTATGAAATGCAATTAAAACTAAAATGTTTGTGATTATAATCATAGTCAAATGTCAAGTGGCAAAACAAATTATTGTCATATCTATATAGAATAATTCATAGGATGGATAGAACTTCAAAAAGGGTGTGCAATTATATGACTAGTAGATAAATCGAATGAAATAAAAACGTTGCGTAATATTGTGTGAAATTTGATAGTATAGAATTTAACGTTGCTGCTGCATGTCTGCGAATAGCCTTTTCCCAGTCGACCATTACTATTCAATAACCTGAAGGACAAGATCCCGCTGTTGACCAACTCTATGTGTGTGTTTATCAATTCACATGCTCGTGTGGAGCTAGTTATATCGGTCGTTCGACTGGGATTTTCTCCAAGAGGGTGCAAGAACACTATCCTGCTGGTGGTTACGAAGAGGTGGAAGTGGAGCAATAGGAAGCGCGATCATTGAACACCTGGTCGATAATGATCACCCTATCTCTATAGCCTTCACCTTTAAAGTCATCTACAAGGCAAAAAGCAATTTACCGAAATCACTACGTACCCGACTCATCTGTATTGCTGAAGCTTTGGCTATCGAAACAGAAAAGCCAGATCTCTGTGTACAGAAAAAGTTCGTTCAACCCCTCCAACTTTCATGGTCTTAATCCCTCTACACCAAAGTATGGTAATTCCCAATCATATTTTGGCTCTACCAATTTTTCATTTTTTCATTTTGTCTATTCAATTTATATTCTCTTCCTTATTACTTCAGTTGTTACTATTACTACTCTCACTTTGAACTTTCCTCGGTATTATTTCACTTGTTCCACTTGTCATTCTATATCATCGACCAGATGTTCAATGATCGCGCTTCTTATTGCTCCACTTCCACCTCTTCGTAACCACCAGCAGGATAGTGTTCTTGCACCCTCTTGGAGAAAATCCCAGTCGAACGACCGATATAACTAGCTCCACACGAGCAGGTGAATTGATAAACACACACAGAATTGGTCAACAGAGGAATCTTGTCCTTCAGGTTATTGAATAGTAATGGTCGACTGGGAAAAGGCTATTCGCAGACATGCAGCAGCAACGTTAAATTCTATACTATCAAATTTCACACAATATTACGCAACGTTTTTATTTCATTCGATTTATCTACTAGTCATATAATTGCACACCCTTTTTGAAGTTCTATCCATCCTAAGAATTATTCTATATAGATATGACAATAATTTGTTTTGCCACTTGACATTTGACTATGATTATAATCACAAACATTTTAGTTTTAATTGCATTTCATACTATTACTATCATTATTAGTTTATGCATTCACACCTATGATTCAATCACCTCATCGGATATAACTTGTTAATTTTCCATGAGTTATAAAAATAGCAAATACCTTTAACTATCACACATAAAAGTCAAATCATGCACTCCCTGCGATGTATGCATGTTTTTAAGTAACACATTTCTTCGTACTAACTTGTAACTGAAAGTAACACGAGGTGATTTTATGAAGTACTGTCCACTGTTTATTTTTCTTCTCTGATGCATTTGGAGTACTGTGTAATCCCTTTGCCTGGATTCCTTTTTGATGTTATTTTCAGCATTATTATTATGTTCTGCATTGTCAGTTGAAGCGAACTTGTGTCGCCCAACTGATATAATCGCGTCGACATTTGATATGAATGAGTGAAATTATGCGTGGGTATTATAAAATACTAACGCAATGGACAACTCAGCTGATATCCTGAATACGCCTATTAATCCGCCGTACCCTCCGCCTCACTGAGTCACGTAAATATCAAAAATAAACAGACAGGAAAATCAAAAACATTCAATTAAATTAATATTACCGGTTGCAAAAGAGTCGGCTCTCGTGGCCCAAGTGGTCTAGTGGATAACGCTTTGACGTTTGGAACTATGGGCACTGGTTTCGAGCCCCGGTGGGAAGATCATCACTCACTGAGAAATGCAAGTACATCCAGGTAGCTGACGAGTCCCAAATAGGACGAAATGCGCGTTATCCTGGATTTTACTGCTAGTCACCATCCACCAGGTTAATAGCTTGTGACTGTTAGGAAACAATCTTGTTGCTAAAAACCACGTCATATTTATAGATTTATGGTCTGGGGTTCGATCCCCGGCCGACGCACTCCTATACCTCACTTACCCAGTAATAAGATTGGTAAAGAGGGAAGGTTTGGCATGAGGCTAGCAACCCCATCGTGTAAAAATAAACACTGCTACAGAAATTTCAAGCCACTAGCTCGACCCCCTATGTTCCACTGGGAACGTGAAGGAAAAATTAAATTATCATTTATAGATTTACGACATTAAAATCGGTCCAGGGCAGTGAAAATAGACTTTTCTGATTAGTAGTCAATTAGGCTAAGCTGGAGAAAAATAAATATTGTGATTAGTTGAAGATTTGAGCAAGAAGATCAAGGTAAGCGAAAGAGAATGAAATTTTACAATAATCCGATCACACGATGAATCATACGATCTCTACTATCTAAAGCGGATTCAAATACAGGCATGGTTATCTAGTGACAGTAATATAAATTATGATGGTTCCATTGCAAGTGAAATTTATTTTGATAAAGTCCCATAGTGTAGTGTTATACATTAATATTTACTGATGACCACATTTCGAGAACAACGTATTGTCGCTCATAATCATATCAAGGCACTATTTACTCACACAACTTACTAACTTGGCTTATATAATTCCATCATCATTTTTCATCGTCTGACTTGATTGATAGTAGTAATATTTTCCATATTTGCGGTATGTGTGATGAGTCATTCCTATTGTATGTGTTATGTTGGGTGCAGATTCGATGAACAAGGATTCAGTCAGTGGTCAACCTCTCTCTCTCTCTCTCCACCTACCTAGATTACTTTTAGAATTTCAGCCCCCGCCCTCTCCCACCCTATTGTGTAGTTGCGTCTTAATGCGTGCAGTGCAATAGCTGAGCTTTTTCTAAATTACTCATTTTCTCGGGGTTAATCATTCTAACCCTACCTAAATTCTTATCTTCCGTGAATCTGACTACCCCTGGCCTACTAGTCTGGCCTATACAGCTAACTTAACTAACAGCCATTGCAAGGTATTTTTAAATAATTTTATTACTTTGTCTAATTGAATGAAACTTCAGGGCACTTTAGCCTACAGAGCTTGCCTTGCCTGAGTGAGTTTTGTAGGTTTGAATGCCACCTTGATTTCTGCTTTATTTAGAATCCTACTAAGTAGAGTCTCAGATATCTCCTCTTTAATATGGTATAACAGCAGATGTCTTATATTCTTTCTTATTCATGTTATCGTTATTAGTTTCCCCATTAATTTTTTATTTTGCTTTTGTCTTTTTCTAATCTTTCCAATGCAGCATTTTATAGGATAGTTAGTTATTTAACACCAATCAGCTAGTCTTCGATCTGTTTTATTTCATAGTTTAAGTTTTTTTTTTCGTATTACTTAGTGCTACTGTTCGGTTCGTTAGACACCTGCTTAACTGAGCCTGTCTGAACAGTTAACGGATGAGATGAATTAAATAAGTCGGAATATATCTATTACTCCCATAGTAAACAGAACAGAAATAGTAATTGTCTTTTTTTCCAAAGAAAACGGACACTACTACTATAATTTCATCAAACATTGACTACTCCAAGAAAGTAAATATTCTCAGAAACCAAACAAAAATTCATTTCATCATGTATATATAGATACATGGCTACGTGATGGCTAGGATGCAAGAACTATTCGAAATAGATATCGCGTGGACTTATATTATTATTTATTATTGTTCCTTTGGGTTCCTAATAGAACATACGGCTTCAACTGCACGTCTCCACTTGCCACTTCTGTCTTCTGCTGTACTTTTCACCTGCATCCATCTATATTAGTCCACACTGTTTCAACTCCTCTTCACACGATCTCCTACATGTCACCCACCCTTGCACTGACGTCCTACTCGCCGCTTCCCTTTCGGCCTGGTTCGACTCGACCAATGGCCTGACGCGAGCGCGATGTCACCTAGCGGCCTCCTCAGAGAGTATCAAATCCATCCATCTCCACTTTCTCCTGCATATTTGTTGGTTGGCGATTGGTTCTTGTTTTGTTTGTTTGTTTGTTCCCATAGTTTCTTGTCGTTGGTGATTCTTTCCGACCTGGCCATCTGATCTTCAGTATAGAGCCAGCAAAGACAGTTGTTGATGAAGGTCTGCAACAGGCTGTTGGAAATATTCTTTGTGACCCGCCCGCCAAGTTTCTGATCCATATAGAAGAACTGACTGACTTGACGTTCATATTGAAAATCGGAATTTTGTTGTTGATACTGGCTGAGTGACGAAGATTTCCAGATTGGTTTCAGGTTGATGATATTGATGTGTTTCTGGCCTTCCCGATTCTCGCTGGATTTGACATTCTCGTCCATTCCGACTGCCTGTAGTTGAGACAATGCTCCCTAGAGATAAGTGAATGAAGTAATCTCTTTCAAATTCCTCCCGTTGATGGTGATTGACGCTGGATGTTGCTGTTGTTGTTGGTTGGTTATTTTCATAACCTCCGTTTTGTCTACGTTCACCTGCAGTCCTGTCTTCGCCAACTGCTTCTCCAACTAGTTTGTCGGTTTTCTCTTGTAAGTCTTCGATTTTGTGACAGTGATATCAAACATAGACCATCCACGCGCGAAATTCAGGTCTTCTAGGTTCTTCACGTCTGTTCAGGTTATTCCTGTCTGCTAGTTTCCCACTCACTGTCTGACGCATAATACAGTCCATCACAATTAGGAATATTATTAATGATAATAAGCACCCTTGTCTGACTTCTGTGTTTACTCCAAATGCTTCACTGAGTTTTCCGTTATGGATCACTTGACATGTGCCGTTGTCATACAGCTGTTGAATAAGGTTGATGAATATTTGGGGTACGCCGTAGTACTCGAGTAGTTTCCAAATTACTTCGGCGTCAACACTGTCTGTTGAAGGCCTTCTCAAAGTCTATAAATTTGAGGTAAAGGTTTGGTTGCTATTCCATGCTTTTTTCTGTGATGATTTTGCGTAGAGTTGCAATTTGGTCAGAACATGATTTACCTTTCCTGAATACTTCAACTTACAATCCAAGAATATAAACTAGCTGTCAAAAAACTAGTCTGACCGGGAAAATGTAAACATTTTCTGAACAGTATGAGTATTAAAACTGACTGAGAGTTCTTAGAAGCCTGGTACTCATACGAATCAATGATCAGCGGATACTTATTCATGGATCGAAGTGACCAATTATTAACGAAAAAGGTCAAATATTAGTGAATTTAAATCCCAGGTAAATAAAAGCGATCATCTTTAATGTCAATAGGAGGGATAATTACATCATTCATGTATGATTTAAATAAGTCCACTTCGTATGAATAAAAGGACGCTGAATAAGTTGCCTAGACTGACAATGAAACCTTAGCTTTTAAACTACTCACCTTAGAGAATACTAGCATTTACAAATAAAACTTAATTGTAAGTTTAGAATATCCATTTTGGATGGTTTCTTTCAGAAGATTAATGGATGATCCCCATTCAGGCATTAATGAAAACAAAACACGTAGATTAGTGAAGAGTCTCTTTTCACCAGTGAATTTACTTTCGTAGCTGTGCAATCGCAAATATATGTATATATGTTATTTTGTATGCATCTGTACATTAAGTTTGTCAAACAAAATTACAATTAGTTATGGTTATTTTAACTAAACAGGTGAAAATTGGTAATACGAGTCAAGAAAATTAAGTGTTAATGAAACTAGGGTAGTAACAAAGGCGATGATGAGTTGTCACAAACAGTTGTTAAAAAAGAAGTTGTGTAATAACGTGAATAGTTTGATGAGTGAGTTTTACTCAGGATGCACATAGAAACAAAGTAGACAATACGAAATTACGTAAGAGTTCTGAATGAATACAAGAATTGTAAGCAGATAAAGAACAGGCAAAGAAACAAAATTAAGTCATTAAAATAAAAGTAAAAAACTCAACCCAAATAAAAAAAGTTGTTACCATGAGAGTAGAAGTGGTTGAATAATCTTCTTTCGTATGTACAGCTCCAGTTTTTCTACGTGAATGGCCAGAGCTTTAGCGATACAAAGGAGAGGAAACCGTATTACCTTTGATAGGTTATTCTTGACTCTGTAGATTACTTTGAAGGAGGCGTCTGTTGAAATGGAATGATCAGTGTTAATCAAGTGTTCAATTATCACACTCCTTATTGCACCACTATTGCCTTTTCGCAACCATACTGGCTGGACAGTGTTCTTGAATCCTCTTGGACAGGGTGCGCGTCGAACAACCGATGTACGTGGCTGGCTCCACAGCAGCAGGTGAACTGATATATGCACATAGAAATGGTCAGATGCGGGATCTTGTCCTTGAGGCTTCTTCAGATCAGTGGGCGACTGGACAGCACTCTTCATAGCGTTGCTGCAAAGAATGTTCTCCTCAAAGACGATGTGATCCTTCTGTTGAGAATTTCGCTTGTTAAATCTCCCTTGAAATCCAAGTTCATGTAGAAATTCTTTTTAGGCTCAATTAAATTTTAGTTTCTTCGAATTCTTGGTTTGATATTTTGTCGATGAATCTTATTGGGTATACATTTTGGATGAAGATTTCTCTTAGAATATCTAATTCTTTCAGAAGATTCAATTCAGATTTCAGGGTGTCAGGACCATAGATTTGTTGGATTTAAGTGGGAAGGGATTTCATTAGATTTCGTTGTTTTTTTTCAACGGACACCCAACTGTAGATACTTGTTATTTGAATATTTCAAGTAGGTTTTCTATGCACTACTGACGTTTTTAAGATTCCGTTAGTTTGTTTTTGTTCATTCCACACCAAGAAAGCGGATTTTAGACTCGTTTTCCATTTCTAGAGTGAATTTTACTGTCCGATGGCAGTTTTAAAATATTTGTAACAATTGATTGGGGTCGTTGCTACTGTCGTTTATTAGGAAAATGTCATCTACACACCGTTTATACAGTTGTAGATCGTTAATGGACGACTTTTAATGGAACATTCTAGAGGTAAGCCATGAAGCAGTCTTCTAGAAATGGAACCAAGGAAGATCCCATTGCTGTACGGTCCTTTCTTGTAATAAAGCTGAATTTATACATACGCTCACTTGCTTTAGTAAAAGTTTACTTGGGTCTGATGCCTTCTATTTTTCTCTTGTCCTCTCACTTATATCCAATACAGGATTCTAGTCTATTTGGATGGGCTGGTTTTACAATGATTGTTGCTGGTATCTTTGGATCAATTTTAGGCGGTGTTATATTGGATAGGACAAAAAAATTCAAGTAAGTTGAACCCTTTCATCTTTGATATAAAAATTCTTTTCATTAACAGTATTTGTGACAGACATTCAAATTGGATGGTGTTGCTAGTTATGCACTTAATTAACGTAAACTTAATTTGAATCTGTTACAAGATTTCATCATGAGCTGACATTGCTTACAGAACCATTGGAAAACCTGGGAGTAATGGACAGCTGTTTCGTCCTAGTTTAGCAGAAGTTGGAATTCATGGGCCACTGGATGGGGTCTCAGTGGCTTAATGGTCTACGAGCTCGACTTGTAATCACAAGGTCCTGGTTCCGAAACCTGGTGGATGCGTACTGATGAAGAGTCCCAAACTAGAACGAAACAGCTGTCCAGTACTCCCAGGTTTTCCAATGGTTCTCTAATCAATGTCAGCTGATGATGAAATCCTGTAACCAAACCCATACTTGAATTCTTTTGAATCTGTTAAAATTCTAGATACCATAATGACACGTTTTTACTGTTTGATACATTTCAAGCACAAAGTAGCAATTCAAGCGTCAAACTTTGAGGCTTCAGTAGCAGTGGTGATGTTGTTCTGGACAGCTTGATGCATACAACTTTATTTCTTTCTCTGACTTACTGTCATCCAGTAAACTAAGCGAGGGTTTTTAAGTCCGTGAGCTGAGAGTCGAACTCGGAATACGCGCGGCTTGATTTGATGAGCATTCTAGCTTTAGGCTATTTCAGTGACTTTCACTAATTTGTGTTTATTGAAGGTGCTCATCTATCTGAAATCAGTGTGATGATCGGGATATTATAGCATTCAGACCAAATGAGGATCCAATTTCTTCTAATACTGATGTCAATGAAATCATTGCTGCAATACAGTTCATTCACTCAGTGTGCTTGTTGTCATAAATATTTCCAACAGGTTACTGTAGACCCTTATCAACACCTGTCCCCTTCGATTGATGACATTGAGAATTAGATGATCAGTGGAAAGCACGAATTCTTCAACCGAAAATGAACCGATAAGCTACTGCACACCAAAAATAACGCAAGAGACAGTGATTGGTTTAAATATACACTCTGAGAAGACATTCAGGTGACACATCATACACATCATACAGTTGTGTGAATGCTGAACAGTAAGCGACAAGTTAGCCATGCAAAGGCATTACATGAAAAAGATTGCGTCAAGAGGAATTGCTGACTAGTGCGCGGTCATGAAGCCAGCCAAAAATGATCGCAGAAAACCAAATATAGAGTAAGGAGGCAAATTCAATAATCGAAATATCTTCTATGAGATTTCTAATGTCATGGTATACCATGGTCTTAAATTGTAACCTCAAAATTCTCAAAAACAGTAAAGAATAAATCTCACAAATCAAACATTCGCCATAAAACAACTCAATACTATTTCGTTTGAAAGATGGCTACTCCTAAGAAAAATTTTAGTATCTTCATGAAATGATTCTACAATTTTTGAGAAAAAAATCACTTCAACAAATTACTCCCCATCTAAAATAGTCTTGGTGCAACTGTTCAACTTTTCTTTTACTTTCATTTGAGTCCATTTGAGTGGTACTATGTGGTGGGGCTTCGACTCTTTCTTCCTGCGAAGTTTGCGTTGATACCAACAGTTTCGAAAAAGGAAGGCCTTATTCTTACAACTACAGCCCCTCGGGGATAGCATCAGTGAGGTATTAACATACCGCCTAAGAAATGCAGTGAAGGGAGCATTCAGTGCTGCTGAGGTATAATGTGTCTTCAAAACCACTCCCCCCTCCATATTTTGCGTTCAGACAATGCCTTTACCTTGACCGCCAATCAAGGTTTTAATGATCCTCAATTTGAACAAAGCAAGAACAACAATTGTACCAAGATAATATGAGCTCATCTTTTATTATTTCGAAGATTCTTCTCAACTGATTACAGCCTGAACGTTAAAAAATATGAATTACATTAAAGATATGAACATACTTTTACACGATCACAAGGAGTAAGTGGTAGGAAGTAAAAGTAACATTAGTCCGGTATGATTTAACTAATTAAGAGTTATAAACACTGACTATTTATAAAATAATTAGACAATTAGGCTTGAGAACACAAAAACAAGGTTTGGCTAGAAAGAGCATAACAAAAAAGTAGATTACGTAACTAAAGAAAGCGTCTTATCTGATAGCCAATAGAAAAAAGGAAAGAAAAGAAACAAGGTAGGGTGAGTCATGTTTAGATGAGAGAGTCGAGTTTTCTAAACATGAAAAAAGGTGACTCATGAAAGTTGTATATTATTTTTGTTATCACCAGGGCAGTGCAAGATTCACCACTGTCTCTTTCTGTGTACATAGATTTAGTTTAAGTCGCTTGATGGCGATTGCTTCAGCAAAGCGTAGCAAGCTGGGTTTCTTTTGCTTGTTGATTATTTTGAACGACTTCAGGTTGTCTACAATATGACCAGTGTCCAATAGATGACGAGCAATCGCATTGTTTAACGCTTGCGAACCTTTCAGTCTCAGGTTCTTTGGTATGTGTTCATAAATGCGGACACCGACCTTTCTCTCCGTTCTTCCAATATATGTGCTTTGGCACATACATGTAAATTGGTAGACACAGTTGGAGGTAACATGAAGTGGGTATTTGTCCACTTTTGATTGTCTCAAACAACTAGTTGTTTGATAAACACATACAAGCTTGGTGGCTGGATATGTTCTTTTCAGGGGAGCGTTCAATTCTGCATCTTATTCTACTAGCGGTATCATCACCTTTGAATGCAAGCTGCAGAAAGAAAGGCTTTTTATCTACTGTGCTGCTTTTCAGTTTTTAAACATGACGTCTTCCATGCTTGTCGATGAAGTTTTGTGGGTAACCGTTGTCGCGTAGGCATTTCTCCACAATGGATAGCTCTTCCTCAATCTTTTCTTTTGAAAACAGTTTCCTCACACGATCAAATAATGTTCTCACCAATCCCCTTTTGTTATGGAAATTTCCCTAATTTTGTTTGACATTCTTTTTTTATCACATTTTTATGCGTATTATAACTTATGCACGTTTTTCGAACTGTAATTCCACTTGGTCTTACTTGTCAAATCGACAATATTTAAAAACGTCGATATTGTTAATGACGACTGTTCTAGAATATCATGTATACATATATACATATATAACTGTAGAGCCGGAAGAGATAACTATCGATAATGATATTTTTCGTTCATTTTTTTTAAATTAAAAATTGTCATAAGATCTTTTTAGGCAAGCAACATAGAATCTTAGACTGGTATTCTGTGCATACTACCACTTTTTGGCGAATCTCAAGAGAGATTCAATCTGATATCACTCAGTTTTGCAGTGATAGACACTAATATTTTCCGCGATGGAACTTCTTTAGGACTGTGATGGTTACAATGATCTCTCGATTATTATTATTATTATTTGATTATGATTCCATTGGGTTCCGAGGGGAACATACGGCTGCCATAACACATCTCTACTTCCTGCCTTTCTCTGTCGTCCTCTTCAGTTGAGTCCACGATTGCCTACAATCTACCATCTCCTCACCCCCCGGCAAGATCTCCTCCATGTCACCCTTGCACCACAAACACACTCATCACTTCTCATCCAGATTCTATCCGACCGGTGGCTTACATTGTGTGTGATGCCATTCGACGGCCACTTCAATGTATGCTCAACCCAACTATACCCGTATTTGCTGAGCAATCGGACCTCGCCTGTTGCTTCGTTCCACTGCAACTGTTGATGAAAGTCTGTAATCGCCTGTTGGAAATCATTCTCGTGGCGCACACACCAACTTTCTGACCAGTATAAGAGAACTCACCGACTGACTGACTTCACATTTGTGCTGAAAACCTAAATCTTGTTCTTCGTGCAGCTGAGTGAGTGAAGAATATTTCCAGGATGGTTTCAGGTTGTTGAAGGAGCTTTTTGACTTTCCTATTCTGGCTGGCCTGCTGATGCTGACTTCTTCCTTCGTGTTGTGCGCCTTTGTTTGAAACCGTGCTTCCTAGTCGGATAAGTGAAGGCAGGAAGTCATCGCCGTCAAATCTTACCCACTGATGGTGACTGATGCTAGTTGTGGAGTTAATCTATATCACAGGTTTAGTTTTCAATGCTCAGTGAAATCATACACCCAGGTTTTTTATGAGGCGGTCTAGTGAACATGGTCGGTATCTTTGTCAAGGACGTAAGAAATAAATAACCACTGAATAACTAGACTAACTTTATAATGACCTCTCCAGATATTATCTCGCCATCTAATAGAAATCTACAAACGTAGCACTTCTATCAAAATTTTGGGTTGCAACAGGATTCGAACAGCTGACATTCGGATTGCCACCTTTAGTACTCTACCACTGTCAATGCATTTGATCATTTCACTACAGTTAACGCATGAGATGTCTAGATGTCTTACGAATTATTGGCACACATCTGTCCATTGATCAGCATACACTAGGTGAAAAAGACAAAGGTAGATGGGGTGGAATGCAAAAGAAGTTAACTCTTTGTTGGTATTAAATGATTGGAGACGTTTGGCGGGAGGGTTTACCTGACCTATGTTTCGTGCTAGTCGACACTCGTCAGCAAGGCATATCTGCAACCTCGAAGGAACTCATATCCCTTCTAAGACTCGAAACCACGCCACTCAGTGCTGTAGTCAGAGACGTTAACACTAAGCTATTCGAGCTCGCGATTCACCTCCTGTAGGACTGTATTGAATATGTTTGATTGCTGACAAGTACCAACTAGCGCAAAACCTTCAAGGTTCAAGGCTTCCTGCCTACTGTCTACAAACCGTCTAATACCAACAATTCACAGTGCACCGTGATCGCGAGCCACTTTGCAAACCTGACTGATTGAATTCAGTTTGCATCGAATAAAGAACTAGACACACATTAAACTATTTACTGACTAGTGTCCTATAAAAAGTTAACTCTCTCACTTACCTTGCTGGGGAAACGTAGTTTCACCTTTAGACGACATGAATGAAGATGTCAGGTCCAGCCAACCAGTATTGCAAAAGCGTTTATTAATCTTAAATCGGTGTGAAATTCATCTGTATTCAGCTTGAGGAACAAGATCCACTTCTCCAGGGCTAATCTACTTCTATATGGTTTGAAGATTTGTTCTCACATCACCAGAAAGCGTAAGCAACAAAGAAGGTCGGCAGTGAACAAACCAAGAAGATTTTCTCAATGTATAGGAAACCGAAAGTGTGAATATATATGTATATATCAGACAAGCTCTGAAGAGACCATTCAATGAAATCACATACAAACCACACCCTTCTGTGAAACTGGATGGTCTTTTTGAGAATTAGAAGGTAGAAGCATGTGTAATGAAGTAATGAATGATGACTAAAACACATGTAGAGATCTCATAGCTCAACTAGAAGAATACTGAGATGGTAAGTAATATAGAGTCTGCTTTCTGATACACGCCATCATTTCACCATTAACTTACACTTATCACATGACCAGTAGTCTTCTAGCTTAAAACTATGCCAATTAGTTCAAAGCATTAGTCAACAAAACTAAAGATTCTCTTATGCTATTAAACTTATATAGAACATTTTGTAAATATCATTTTTGTTTTTGACCTTGAGAATCAAAAACATTGCACGATAATAATAATAATAATAAAAATTAACCTTTAAGCCGAAAAAATGTATACATAAAAATATTAAGAGTGAAAAGTTTTTTTTTTATAGCCAGCCACAAAATAAACAAAACCAATGAACATTTTTAAAAAAAGCGGGGTTGTCAAGGAGAGCGAAAAGTATTAATGATTGTTTATTTGTTCGCAAAATTTACACTTCATTTTGCGCTTCAACTCACTGATCGTTTTCTGATTTAGTCATAGTGCTGGCGTAATTTTTTTGCAGTTTAAAATGATATGCCATGGTTACTACTTTTTGGTGTTGTTTCAATCATCTAATGTGACCTTGAATTGCCCGCCAACTGTAAACGCGCGCTCTTTTTCAAATGAATCAATACACATTTGTCGATAGAAATTAGGGTAGTATTTATGACTTTTAGAAAATGAAGACTAATGCTAAGTTTAGTAAGAACCACTTTATTTCTAGCAGGTGCGAGTTTCCCCGATTAAATAACTCTGTATATTTATGAACTGCAGATTTCATACAGAAATATAGGATAATTTATTGCTGGGTTGATATTTGGTTTAGAAATTTGGTGGTGGTGGGGGGTTAAACTTTAAGCATTAGTAACTACCCATCAGCGAAAAATTCTGAACGTATCAATCACATGAAAGCAGATATTTTGGGTAAAAACGAGTACATATATTTATGGAAATAATGTATAAAAAAGACGTAAAAATGTTACACTGATTTGTGACAAAAATGACTCCCACTTTTCCATAGGAGTGTCAAGAGATACGTCAAACCACATTCTATTGTCGAATTCATCTGTGTGACTGTAAATAACATACTTTTGAGTTCCTGTAATGGGCCTAATCCTGTTTTTCAATCTTCCCCAAAATCTTTCAATGAGACTTGTGTGGGTCCCTGGAATAGGAGCTACAAAATTATGCAATATTATGCAAACGGAAAGATCTAACAGAAAAATAAGATGAAATTAATTCAGTTTACACGCAACGGCAGCACGTCTGACTCCAGACTAGAAGGCTGCGTGCTCGAATCACGTCGGCATCAAGGCTTTTGTGTCGGTGGCACAGCAGTTAGGACGCTTGCCGACCATGCACATGGTCCGGGGTTCGATCCCCGGCCACAGACGCACTCCTTTACCTAGCTGAGTCAGAAATAATGCTGGTAAAGAGGAAAGGTTGGGCATGAGGTGGCTAGCAACCCCATCCTGTAAAAATAATCGCCACTGCTACAGAAACTTCAAGCCCCTAGCTTGAAGCCTAATGTTCCACTGGGGAACGTGAAAAAGAAAAAGACAAAATAAATTGTGTTAAACAGTAAAAGACATTACATCGGTCGAACTGGCCGTCTCCTACAAGTCAGAATCCAGGAACACAAAATAATTTTAAAATGGTATGCTTTATATTCTTTCGTAACAATGCATGTAGATAATTATGGACACCAATTTGATCAGAATAATGTCGAAATTTCAAATAGACGACACATCAGACAGTTATACCCAGGGATTTCAAGAGATCTGGTGCTCAATTGAATCAGCGACTAACGAATAAATTTATCATTTAATCAAATGTTAATGACGTGACAAAAACATTCAAACTCCAAATTAATAGAAATAATTAACCGAGATGTAAATCAACTAGCAGCCACGAAGACGGTTGCCTGGAGACACATTTATATCGTCAGTCATCGAGAATTTAAATTAGTTCATTTTATTCTAAGACCCTCGTTGAAGGGAGATGTTGTCTAGTAGGGGGACGACGAAAGATTCGCAATTAAATCAATCAGCTCCTCAGAGAACACAACCAATTCAAAATCATCCACCTGAGCTACAAGTCTCCTCTTCTATTTTATGGGTATTAAAGTAGTTGACTTTCTATCTGATATTGTTTCAATGAATCATTTCTGACATCGTATAGTCTAATGACCGGAATCTTACTAGATTTTTCCCTACAACAGTTTTATTTCCCCTTTTATCAGAACTGTTTCATCTTCTTTCCTCAGAAGGGAATTAATCGTCTTCATCTTCCAGGTAGCAATATCTGTGCATTGTTGACTATTGTGCGCTCTGCCTTCAGATGGAGCTCTCACAGACTGTTTTGAAACCCAGCAATTACAAATATACAAAACTCTGGGTTAATGACAGTGTTCCCACGAAATAGTATAATCATCAGCTTGTCTTCCCTCACACTAACTCATCTCAAACAAATTTCACAACGACAAACATGTCAATCAACTTATCTACTGCAGCTTTTTATGCCCATGATATATTCACAGGAGCGAATTCTATCCCACATCTAATCAGTACTAGAATAGGTGGTCTACACTGAGTTTCGGGAGTAAGTCTGTTAGAGCAGGCATTTCACTCAAATTAAGTGCAATGGAAACTTGAACTCACTCTTACAAAAAGCTATTCAGCCCACTCAAGATTTTTTAGATTTTTAGATTTACAGCTTGATTCCACACTGTATTTTTGGTACAAGTATGGAATTTTCAGCATGGATATCGGTAGCCCAAATTTCGCAGGCCGACCATAGATATCAGGTGTGCGCCGGCGTGAGCTCGAACCCCGGACCATGTGCGTGGTCGGCGAGAGTCCTAACCACTGTACCACCGGTCACACACCGGTGGTAGCTATCAGTGTTTAAAGTTTAACTTCGCCAAAGACAGTGTAGAATCCTCTAATTTCTAAAAACTATCATTTTACAGACGGAAGGTACCGTAAATTTGCTAAGGAGAGATAAAGTAAGCCTCGTAGTTAAGTTGCTGACAAGACAGCAGTGTAATCCCACTTTCCTAAGTTCCACCTATGGTGTTGGAGTAATGGACGCTTACCACTGAAGAGGCCAAAACCAGGACGAAACAGCTTTCCAGTGTTCCTTTAGATGATATCAGTCTGTGGTCAGACTTGATTTTCTTTTTTTTTTGTAGATACATATCATAAATAATTGCATCTCATCTTATGGTATTCACATTTTATTGATTTTATTTTCTTGTATTTTCTTGTTTGCCCCACAGACTAGTAACCTGTGCTATCTATATACTCAGTTTAATATGGATGGCTGTTTTCACAGGAATATTGTATCTACGTTCAATGCCATTGGTCTTTGTTTCCATGTTCTTTTTAGGGTGAGTTGGTTTTTATTTTCTTTCAAATTTTATTGTTATTACTACTGATTTCTTGGGTTTCCGAGTAGAATACATTGATTGCCTCGATGGCACATCACAGTTGCAGTTGGTCTCCCCAGCCCCGAGCAGGAACTTTCAGCTGGCTTCACGACTACTTACAAGTTATCGTCCTGTTCGCTATATAACAAAAATCTGTGTTACTTTCAGTCCCTCGATGTGCTGAATCTCGTTAGCGTTTTACTTAATAACCTGGAATGTAATGATAATAATAGCAATAATAACCATTCAAGCATTGGTTTGTAGGGATTCGACTGATTGCTAACAGGATTTCATTATGATGAACTGATGTCGGCTAGAGAACCATTGGGAAACCTGCAAGGAGTATTGGACTGCCAGCTGTTTCATCAGGATAATTTGGGACTCTTCGAACCCAGGACCTTCTGGTTACAAAGCTAGCGAGCTCGTAGACCACTAAGCCACTGAGACCCGATCCAGTGACCAGCGCATGGATTCTAACTTCTGACATGGTGTGACAAGCTGCCATTGTCTTCAACGAGTATTTGTCCTCATACCCGACTTGCTGTACCTTATCGGTCACTACTTCCCACTAGAATCCAGGTAACTACCTACCTAGGACCAGTCACTAGTAGGCATCAGATTGACATTCAAATATTCTCATGAGAACTCATGATCTGTAGGGTGCAGAAGTTAGGCTGTGGGTAAAATACTTGCCTGAGACATTGGCTAGTGGTCGCGCTATGTCGTAAATTGGCAGAGGTGAGAATTCATGCGCTGGTCATTGGATCGGGTCGGGGCTCACTGGCTTGATCGTCTACGAACTAGCTCGCCTTGTAACCAGAAGCTACTGGGTTCGAATCCTGTCGGATGAAACGCGTTGATGAAGAGCCCCAAACTAGGCTAACGAAACAACTGGCTGTCCAGTACTCCCTGCAGGTCTTCTAGTGGTTCTCTAACCAAATAATAACCACTGTTTTATGATGCTTTGTATTCATGACAAATCAACCTGAAACCAATTTGGAAGTCTCCTGAGGTTGCGTGACGTTTATCAGCAGCTGGTCACTTCATTCACTCTATATTGTAGATCAGATGACCAGTCGGCTGGCCGACCAGATGAAATTAGCAACAAGAATCTCTGGTAGTCAACAAACTAACCAGGAACTTATTGTGCAACAAATATACAAAATAAAACGGAAATATATCGGACAGATGTTAGGGAGACTGTCGGATTACATCGTGTGCCAGACCAGAGAGAATATAAGTCATCTAGTGTTATACCATATAAGGAGGGGACATCTGAGACCATATGTAGGATTCTCAATAAAGCAGGAATTAGGGTGGTGGCATTTAAACCTACAAACTCTCTCATGTAGGACAAGCTCTGTAGATTAAAGGACTCAGTTGAACCAATTAGACAAAATAATATAATTTACAAAATACCCTGCAATGACTGTGAGTGAGGTCAACTGCATACGTGAGACTAGTAGGTCGGGGGTAGTCGGATTGTCGGAACATAAGAATTTGACAATTCACACAGAGTTAAACTCTGTTTGTTATATTCACTATATGAAAACCATAGACTGGATATCAGGATCAGGTGTGTTACATTTCACGTGTTTCTATAAAGCAATCACTGACTGGAACTCTCACCTTGAAATTATCTTCACGTGTGTCTAAAAGACAAATTAACTGTGACCAATACATTCTTACTTAAGTTCGACATGTTCGCTTTGTCCAGTCTTGCATCATCATCATCATCATCACTTTAACGTAGTCCAGTTACTAGTGCTTGAATTGACGGCTGCAATCTGTCGAAATGAAGATGGCGATTCGGTATTCGCATATTTTTTTCCTCTTTTTTTATTCCTTTACGTTCCCAGGGAAACATAGGGTTCCAGCAAGCTAGAGCTGTGAATTTTCAGTAGAAGTAGAGTTAAGTTTTACGGGATGCGGTTACCAGCCTCATCCACAAACATCTCTCTTTATTGGGATTACTACTAGCCAGGCAAGTGCCTGAAGGAGTATCTTCCCATTGGTCGGGGATCGAACCCTAAACTACATGCGTGGTCGGTGAGCATTCTACTACTGTGCCACCGACGCACTACATGTATAATGATAATAATTTGCTTTATTCCAAAACAGTACTTGTGATACAAAATGGAATTCTCAGCATTTCACCACATACAGGATTGCATCCAGTTAGTACATTTACAATAAATAAAGTTCTACATAGATTAAGGGTAATCTCAGTTAATTTTGGCGACAACATATTGGCATGTCGTTCGTTAGCAAAGACAAAATTGAACAGAATGTTTGAAGGCGTTAGAAAAGTAGATACTACTAGCATATTTACTGGCGTAAGTGGTAACAAAAAGATCGAGATATACACAGTGTGAAAGAAAGAAGAAGAATGTTTTAAGTAGAGTTTTTAAGAAAGAGAGGAAAGGAAAAGAAAGAAAGAAAAACGTTGTACCTATAAATGATGATATGAGTTGGAAAGACGAGATCTAGTTGTTCTACTGACTGTTTAATAAGTTAGCTATAGGTATCACGCCTAGTGCTTTCTTCTTTATCGCACAGAACACGAGCTAAGTAGGGTATGGTTGAGTTTTTGTACTTACCAGTGCGAGCATATAGTTTCCTATATAGGCTTGTGGTTTTGCCTGAAGAGATAGATACAAAGGGAGAGTTGTGAATGAAGAGCGTGGTGGTGTGAGTTAGATAAATAGAATGGATTTAGCCCATTTTTTCACATGAGTCCATGTGCCTGTCAACCAGAATATTAACAAGCTGGTTAAGTGACACACTGCTAACCCTACTGACAACCTTTAACACTCTGCGTAATAAGATATAGTCTCTCTTCAGTAGCCCTTGAAAAACTTAGGGGGAACAATAGAGAATAAAAGGCAGGATACGGGAGTTAACGAATTGTAGGAGTAAGGGTTGGGTTATTCCAGAATGTCTTAACTTCTTGATGTAGAAGGTAAGACGGAATATTTTCTTAGAAATCATCAAGATATGAGACGATTAAGAAAGATCAACAGATAGAATGACGCCAAGATATTCAATTTCCGACTTGGTTTCTATTTCAGTGCCGTCTATGTTGCACACCCCGTGAGTGTTAACCAGTTTGTTTGTTTGTTAACCAGTTTATGCCTAAGGGTGAAATTGACTGTTTGGCATTAGGAGGGATTTAAGGTTGGACCGTTTTCCTTGGACCACTGGCTGATACGCATTAGGTCCATTGAAGGTTTAGCGACTGAACAAACTTCTCCTGTATACAGAGTTTGGCATTTAATACTTGAATTGTTATGGTCTGAAGACGTCCGATGCGCAATGTTTTAATAAGACTCCCACGTATTCTGTTGATGACTTTGAAGTTTCTTTTTGGATAAGCTTGCTGTCGAGATTCGATCAGGTGTTCAAGGATAGAGCTGTGGATGGGTGTTCTTTGTTCTCCTTTATAAAACCATGAAGGTAAGTGTTCAGTGATACGTTTAGATAAGAAACGCTGGATACGGGTGACATGCCTACCTCGAAAGAATCAGGTGAAATGAAAGGTACACAACGGTAGCTTATTCAAAAGAATATTTCATAAGAATAATTGTTTTTTTAGAGAAAGTTAGTCGACACAAAGATGATGTCTATATATGCAAAACTTTATTTCATAAATTTATCGATTTTTTGTTTGTCTGTTTGTTTATTTCGTTTCTTTTTTTTCTTTCTTTGTTTTTCTATCTCTTTTTGTTATACAGCTTTTTTATGACAGGTTACCTGAGTTTAGGTTTTGAATTAGCCGCAGAATTAACCTATCCGGAAAGTGAAGGTCTCTCTTCTGGTCTATTGAACACATCAGCACAGGTAAGTAAAAACTGCACAAAACACTAATGAGTTTCATTCAAACTTATATAATTAAAATAAGTACTAAAGCGCTTTGTTTAGGATTCTCTTTATTAAGTATTGGTATTATAGGGAATTTTTCGTCTGATTGGTTGGTTGGAGGATTTCGTCATTAGCTGAAATCAGTTTGAGAACTTTTGGATAACCAGTTGGGAGTACTCCCAGGTAGTTGAAATTCATCGGGTGTTGGATTGGGTCACAGTGACTTAATGGTCTATGAGTCCGCCTTGTAACCAGAAGGTCGTAGGTTCGAACCCCATCGGCCGGTGAGTATTGCTGAAGAAGAGTTCGAAACTAGGCTGACGAAACAGCTGTCCAGTTCTCCCAACTGGTTCCCTTACTAATGTCAGTTCATGATGAAATCCTCCATATCTATTGATCAGCGTTAAAAATCTCATTATCTGAGATGAAGTGTAAAACAGCTGAAAGGTGACATTTATAAGCAGTAATCTGTAATTGTTTGATGTCTGCTCACAGCCGTCAATGTAACACAACATAACAGTATGGATTGCCTTTGATAGACAGTGTGAAGGCACACACACACACACTTGTGCTAAAAACGATAAACGCTCACAAATGCTCTGAGATTTAATCAGCCAGTAGTTAAACAGATCCAACTTAACTTCTCGGATAAGCAGTATTCATTATATTATTATTTCTTCACCTTCCCAGTGAAACATAGGGCTTCTTCAAGATAGAGGCTTGAAGTTTCTGTAGTAGTGGTGTTTATTTTTACAGGACAGAGTTGCTAGCCAGCCTTATGCCCAACCTTTTCTCTTTACCAGCTGAATTATTGGGTTAGCGAGGTAAAGGAGTGCGTCGGTGGTCGGGAATCCAACTCCGAACCATGTGCATGGTCGGTGAGCGTCCTAACCGCTGTGCCACCGACGGATAAGCAGTGCACTTAAGATATTGAACAGGTTTACGCTCTAATCTTGGAGTGGTGATGCAGAATCGTTCCAATTTAAAGGCGCGGATATGGAGGAAGCTGTCAAAACCCAACGAGACTTGGATTTTAAACACATCACATCAGTTATTCTAACCGAAACACAAACTTCATATGGATGTCGCTAAAACCATTTCCAACAGGCTAATTCAGATGTTCATCAACAGTCGTCTTCGGTGACTCCATGCTGAAGAACAGACGGCAAGCCAGAAAGGATTAACACAGCAACAAGAAGCGAAGCAAACCATCAACTTATCTCTCAGTAAATATTTGAAAGGAGACGGAGATAGATGGATTGGGGATACATTGAGGAAACTGTTGAATGACATCGCACGCTAGATTGGTCCACTATGCGTCGATGATGCAGAGGTAGAATGCTCGTGTACCACGCATGCGGTCCAAAGGTTGATCTGCAGCGAATGCACTCCTTAACGTCACTTAGCCAGTAATACGATTAGGTAGAGAGGGAAGGTTGGACGCGACGCTACTAACACCACCCCGTAAAACTAAACATTTTACTACTACCGAAACTTCAAAGCTCTAGCTTGCTGTGAAGTTCTATGTTCCACTGAGAATGTTAAGTACTTTTAAAAAAAGACTGAGAGTCTACGGGAAACCGGACAGGAAGTGCTGAGTTTAGCGTGAGACCGAAAATGACATAGAGTGGATATCATGTGATGAGGAAATGATAGCTTATGGGAACAAGGTTGAGCCAAGTAGAGAACAGGGTGAAGGACTCTTTCCCCTTTCAGTGGAAACCTAAAGGTATAATAATGTAAGCATGCAATAGAAGTTAATGACACCACTCTTCAAGCTTTTATGAAATTTAAAACAGAACACCACCCATCAGTTCAGCGGCCGGCAGTAAGATCGATAAGCAGGAAAGATTGGGCATGAGGCTAGCTACTGTAATCTGTTAGAACTAAAACCCCTGCCACTGAAACTTCAAGCTCTATGTTCCAGTGAGAATGAAAAACAACAAGTTATCTTAAAGAAACAAAAATGTTTCCCTCTGGCATTGATTTTATCATCATCATCATTATAGTTGTTGAAACGTTTTTTTTCTGTCTAACAGCACTTTTTCAAACATTCTATGGTTGTCAGCTCCTTGAACTAGAGCTCCTTTCACAGCTCTTAAAATCCGCTAAGTCATCTGATGATATTACGATTTCTTTGCAATTGGTTATTTTGATGCAGATAATGATTGTGTCTGTTTACTCTTTCCTCCCCGCCCCCCCGTTTTTTGTTTGAACTGTTCTTTCGACATACATACATACACACACACCCTCTCCGATGTCCCTCGACGTTCAACAAAATCTAGATCTTTGGCCTTATTTTAATTCATGTGGCAACTACACTGAGAACACATCATGGTGTTCTACCTGGCAATCTATTTCTTACTGCTTTATTAGTACTTGGATCAATAATGACAAGTGAGTAGAAGTGATGCTGCTTTTTATTTTGATTTTATTCATATATTCTATTGATTGGGCCTTTTAAAAAAAAAGATTTAAATAATGTTGGTTTACTAAGTGAGTTGATCATTGAAAACTAGGGCAGATTGGACGGCTGTGTTTGTCCTAATTGGGGAATCTTCGAAAGGATGGACCGTTTACCCTAAGAGGGATCAGATCGTGTACCGTTCAGTTACTGATGACGGTGTATCCAGTGTTCTATGGCTTCTAAATCCTGACAATTAGTGACATATATAGAACGGCGTACCTCAAGTCTTTATCAACCTCATTTAGCAGTTGTATCACAGTAGCAGTTCCAAAGAAAATACTTCTGCCTAATCTAGAATTCAGAGTTGATATTGAAGCAGAAATCCTTCGTAAACGCTTCTTCAAATCTCTGAGGAAATGATACTTTACCGCGAGCCTACGACTGATGTTGTCCTGCAAAAAACTGTTCAGCCAGAACGTGAAAGACAAGCTGTCACATTGGGCCATCTCAACGTGCATATACCAGTTCACTTGCTCTTGTAGAGCTGAGTACATCGACCGTACCATGCGCCGACTTGAAAAACGCGCTCGTGAACACTATCCAACCCGGCTAGTAAAAGAAGACCAAAAACGTGTATACAGTTCAGTGACAGAACATCTACTCAATTCAGGAAATTCAATACCTTTCGAAAAATCCTTCAAAGTAATATACATGAACCAATGTTTGTTCTATCAAATCTGGTAAATAACCCTAGTGGTTCTGTTAGCATATCAATGTGATTTGCTGTATCTAATAGGTAGGATAGAATTCGATTATCTTGAGGGTGAATTCCATCCTTTTCCGGCCTGCTCAATCGTTCGTCATGTGGAAATCAATCCACTGGAGTATTTTAATTGTATATATATATATATATATATATAAGTAGGAGATAAGGCTAGACCGATAATCTTTTGGTTTCAGGGTGATCATTGGATGATTTATAGAAGAATGCGAACCACCTTTGATTTGATTTTTTTTGATTTTTTGATTTACAGCTTAATTCCACACTGTATTTTTGGTACAAGTATGGAATTTTCAGCATGGATATCGGTAGCCCAAATTTTGCAGGCCGACCATTGATATCAGGTGTGCGCCGGCGTGGGCTGGAACCCCAGACCATGTGCATGGTCGGCGAGAGTCCTAACCACTGTGCCACCTTCCACGACAGAAAGTTGTATTTATCGCTCCAGATGGATGTTAGGATAGAATCTTCATAGAAGCGTCTCCTTTGAATTGTAGGATCAAAGTGGGCACTAATTTTAAGTAAAGTCTTTCATTTTTGGCGTGTACACTGCATGACTATTGATTTATTTAGATTAAGAATAATTCAGACAAAAAAATTGTTCCTCAGCCACTTGCTTCCATAGACTATCCATTTATTGATCCCTTAAAGTTAGGCGTACCACCACAGTAACTATTGAAAACAGCAGTATTCATCAAAGTTGTAGTGTAACGATAAAATATACCAAGCCATTCATTGAGATATCAATTTACCAAAAGTTACTCTAATAATAATAATAATAATAATAATAATTTTTCCTTCACGTTCCCCAGTGGAACATAGGGCTTCAAGCTAGTAGCTTGAAGTTTCTGTAGCAGAGTTTATTTTGCAGGATGGGGTTGCTAGCCTCATGCCCAACCTTTCCTCTTTACCAGAATTATTTCTGGCTTATAGAGGTAAAGGTGTGCGTCGGCCGGGGATCGAACCCCAGACCATGTGCATGGACGGCGAGCGTCCTAACCGCTATACCACCGACGCACTGGTACTCTAGATCTACTTTTTTTTCAGTCTTTATTCGATACACAAAGATCTTTCATCTTCGAGGTTCGGTTTCCAGGGAGAAAATTGATTTTTACAAGGATGAACACGAACTGACTGATATCAGCTGGAGAAGTATCAAACACAAGAGACTTATAAAGAACCGTGATGACAACATGAGTTTGTACTGCTGAAGAGTTCAAAAAAAACTGAAACACCTATCCAGGATTCTCTTGTGATTTTTAGTGCTTCTGTAACTGAAATCAGTCATTTAATGAACAAATTTCAAGCCTTCTATTTCTTTCCTTTGCGACTGCATCAATCATATGAACTGTTTGTCTCAGGTTAGACTACGGATTAATATCAGTTGATGAATTATTGACAACCAACACCGAAATACTGGAGAGTTGGCTACAAGACGAAGTTTCCTGGAGTTCTAGTGATTGAAAAGTCGTTAAAAGTGGGGTTCATTCAGTCGGGAGTGAGGATGGAGTTTCCGCCAATGACACTGGTTGTCGGTTGCGCTAAAATCAACAAACTGGTAAAAGTTATAATTCATGGGCTCCAGTAGCAGAATGGTCCACGAGCCGCCTGTCTTGTAATCGGAAAGTCCTGGGTTCGAAACACATCGGGGGCGTGTACTGCCAGTGAGTCATAAACTAGTCTGAGGAAACAGCTGTCCAGTACTCCAGTACTCCCTGGTTTTCAATGGTCCTCTAACGGATATCAATCTGTGTGGTCCAACATGAAACAAATAGATTCCCTATAGAAACCGATTCTTGAAACTATAAACCGTTTATCGATCATTTCTTAAACTCAACATTAATTATTATTGTTTTTCTTCTATTTTTTTTTCATTCAGTATGCATCAAGGAGAATCTTCTTCGTCAACAAGCTCATGAACGTGTAAGTACATGCATTCATGCTTGCATGCATTTAATAGAAATTTTTTATGCCAAACAGTCATTTTTATATGAGGTAGAATTTTCAACTCCTGTGCATACATTGACAATTTTCTCACTTATTAAATTAGGTAATCAGAAAAAATTGAGGTTAACTGAATATTAACACATACGTGTAGTATGAATGCTGGTTAGAATTTGCTGTTTATTATTTATTAGTGTTGCGAAGTAGGTTTTAAAAATTCTTCTCTGATACTTGTCTCTCTCCCTCTCTCTTCACACAAAACCCATGCTAAATATCGTTGGTATGGTAGACTTTTTATATTTACTAGCTGTACGAGTATAAATTCTCAGGAAATTTATTCCAGGTGTACCCGAACAGATGCAAGGTGGAAGTAGGGAATTACAAAGACAGAATATTCAAGAAACCTTCTAAATAAATGTTTGGAAGAATCGTCTGTCTGTCTGTCTGTCTGGATTCAACATAGAACTTGGCACCGAAGTGCAGCGGTTCGAGTTGCCACGTCTCAAATAGCACACAGAGGTAGACAAGAAGATGAGTGAAGAGAATCAATACAGTCTGACAAGTATAAGAGTGAAACAGAATGGGTAATGTTAGAAAGGAATATGAAAGATTACAGAGACTGAATACATCTGCGCTGGCCATTGACAACGATTTTGAGCCATGTCGGCTATTGTCTCCAGCCATTGATTCCTAGAGTCCCGAGGGCCCCAACTCGGGAGTCTGCATCTCCCTACCTGACTCAGTTTAACTGTCAAGGATTTCATGGATTGATGAGGCCATGTTTTTGTTTGGCCACCACTGGCTCTTTTCCAACCTGCACCTATATCAGCTAGCAATGCCCATCGTCGGGGGAGGCGGTGGTTAGGCATGCGCAGCACGTGACCGACCTAGCCATCTCAATCTATGTAACTTTATAGCCTCGTCGATTGATTTTCCCTGTTTGACCAACACTCTACGCCTAACGTCAACATTACTTACCTTGTGAAACCACCTAACGTGAGACAGAGATCGCAGACATCTATGATCGAAAGCAGTCAACCTTTTCATGTCTTCAACGCGTATTGGCCATGTTTCAGAGAGCCATAGAGAAGGACGGAGCGAACTGCTTATCAACAACAATATCAGTAGTCCATTGAGTCAAAGGCACACCATTAAACCCGCTTACATACCAAGGATAGACAGAATATGTGAACTGTAAGTAAACTGTAAGTGAAGTAAATGAGAGACAAATTCGGCGAAGAAAATTTTCTTTATCGACGAAATCATCTTCACAGACTGGCTGTACAGTCGTATGTATACTTACCAAAGAATATATACTGGTCTATTATTGAGTAATAGGGGACCGGGGTGACATAATTGATATAATTACTCAGAAGTGGCTTTAGAAGTAAAAAACAAAAATTAAAAGTTGTCAATTACTTGGTACTTAACGGCACAAAGATAGAAATTTGATAAGGTTGACATTGTTATTGAGTGAGACTAAAGGTGGTAGTTGAGCGTCCATTTAACACGTGTGAAAATGTATAAAAGGAACATCTGAGAGTGATAATAGTGAATTAATTATTAAAGTAAAAGCAAACTAAAAGTAAAGTTGAAATTTTTTTACAGGACTGGACTATGGAAGAGGTTAAGACCAAGTTAGAATAAGATAATGGACAAACATTTTCTTTAATAAAGAGTTCGTGGTTGTGTTGACGAATTACCAGCGCCTCCACCATACACAAAAGCCGAAACCTGACGCCATTTGTACCATTTGGCCTCACCTTGTAGATGATCTTGAATATTATCAATCTCATATGCTCCTTTTGTACATTTCGCATTCTCTTGGCACGTGTTGAATGGATACTCAAATACCACCTTTATTCTCACTCAATAACAATTTTAATCGTATCAAATTTCTAACTTGGTGCCGTTGAGTACCACGTAAATGACAACTTTTAATCTTCACTTTTAAAGCCACTTCTGGGTAATTATATCACTTATGTCATCCCGTATTACTCAATAAACGACTACTATGTGTTTTTGCCAAATATAAATACGACTGTACAGCACAATCTGTGAAGATGATTTCGTCGATAAAGAAAATTCTCCTCGCCGAATTCGTCTTTTATTTTCTTCATGTAAGAGAATCGGTTGAGTTATGCCAGCAGGAAAGTCTCAGCTTCTTTATGTGTGACGCGTCAAAAGAAAGATTTTCTTCAGGAATCAAAAAGATGTGAGACGGGGAATTAAGAATGATTAGGCAAAAGAAATTGAAACCATCTATCTATAGCAGAAAGAATCAACGTTCTGACATCTAGACAGCGTGTAATTACTAAAATGGAGTCCCCCTTGGTCTGAACCACGAGAAATCGATCTTCACATTCTACTCAATAGCTGGTCAAAACTTTCTTAAGATGTGCACGATCAGTCACAAAACTTTCCCAAGACAACAAAATGACGGATCTTCACAACTACAAAAAGTGTAAAGTATTCGTTTCGTAGGGAATTTTGTTTCATTGGTCGGAGGATTTCATCATGAGCTGGCATCCTCCAGCCAATCAAACATAATTCCCTACAAAACAAATACTTGAAAATTGATCCATTGCTCACTAGCAACTGGCCCTATTCACTTGAGTAGTTACCTGGAGTTCTAGTGGAAATCCGTAACCAGTACGGTACATCAGGTCGAAGGTGAAACAGTAATTCATCGAAGAAGACATTGCGAAGTGTTCGCACTATGTCATGAATTGTCAGAAGGTAGAATACATGCACTGGCCCAGTGGCTTCTAACCAGAAGATTCTACGTTCGAACTCTACATGTTGGTGCGTATTACTGAAGACTTCAAAAATGGGCTGACGAAACAGCTGGCTGTCTAGTACTCCCTGTAGCTGGTTTTTCAATGGTTCTCTCTCTCCTCCAACCTTTCTCAAAAATAACACCACATAAAATTCAACTATAAGAAGTACCATAGAATCATGAAGAATTTTCTCTACAACGTGGGATGAAAGCTGCACGGGGATGAATCCCACCCCGAAAACTGCTGCACACAGTTCAAGATTAGAATCATTTTGACTACATTCAAACAAAATCACATCGTAAAACAATAAACACAGTACCAAAGAGAAGCATTGAAATTAGATATTAAAACAGTGACAAGAACAAATAATAAGCACCAAATCAACATGCGATATGCAAATCTCAGACCAACAATGATATACAGTCTAGTAGAAAAATGGACCATGCTGAGAAAGTAAGACGTTTGTAAAAGATTGTATTTGTAAAGTCACAGCGAAATTGAAATCAGTAACTCCAATGTTTCCTGTGTTCGACAAACTGGCTTGAACTTCTTCAAAAACAAAAAAAAACTAATCGACATTAGCATAACAGAGATTTTTTTATATTTAGAAAGGACATCTCTTGTTTTTTTAAAAACTTTGCCATCAAAAAACTATAATAATAAACAACAAAGAGGTTCGGACCAGTGTGCCGAACGCAGGAAACGTTGAAATTACTCATTTCAATTTCAATGTCTACTTCTCACTCGGTGCCTAATTTTTATGTTGGAGCTGTTCGGGAAAATGTTGACAAAAATATTATTCGAAACACCCGAATAAATAAGTATAAACAGTGGAATTTGGATCGTTCTGGAGAGAATTTTAAAAGACAGTGACTTTTTAAAGAGGGGTTCACTTAAATACTATTTGAATGAATAATATATATATATATATATATATATATATATATATGCATCTCATAAGAGTAAATTCCCTCATGAAAATTTGAAAATTTTGTAATTAGGGTAATGATAAATTGGATAATCACAGCTAATAAATCACAGTTGTGTTGGTGTGATGCACTGGAGTACTGGACAGCCGTTTCGCTAGCCTAGTTTTGGACTGTGTTTCAGCAGTACGCACCAACCACAGGGGTTCAAACCATTGGGCCACTCACTGGGACCCGGCAGTTTAATGACCAGCTTAATGAATTCTAACTTCTGCCTATTAATGGTATAGTGCGAACACTTCACAATGTCTTCTTCGATTAGTTACTGTCTGACTTTGAACCTGCTGTACCCTACTAGTCACGGCTTCCTACTAGAACCCCAGGTGACTATTTACCTGAATAAAGCCAGTCGCATCGGATTAATTTTCAAGTACGGTACCCCCAGGTTTTCCAATTGTTCTCTAATTGATGTCAGCTCATGATGAAATCCTCCAATCAATCATTGTATTTGTCGGTGTTAACGTCTGAATAGTACTCCAATGGTTCAATACTGCATTAGCGACAGAATCCTATGCATATGTACATTTGAACATTCTATCTCATGTCGTTTAATGTAAACCAAAATCACACGCTCAGTGTTTGGTTTAAGAAGATAAACTGCATAGGTATAAATAATAATAATGATTTGCTTTATTCCAAAAACAGTACTTGTGATACAGAATGGAATTTTCAGCATTAAATAGCTATTTGATCACTTGAAGAAAGTATCCCTTGGCTTCCTTGGCTTGCCTTCTGTTTTTACACAGTGATTACAACTCATAAGATTACAGAATCACAATTTTGGTGTCTTAGATGTTGAATGAAAAGGCAACGATGATGACATAATCCCCTGGCTAGACTTCTGAGAACCAAAACTTCACATCTAATCTGAAGGTCAATCAAAAATGAGGTGACGAGGGGTTGAAACGAATTGATAAAATCATACAACAAAGAGTTATTACAGTAAGAGTTATCGGGTGAATTGAAGACACGCAACAGATTCTATTCAGTGAAGATATGCTTCAGATTTCAACCATTTTTATTGCTTATAGCTTTAACAAACCGAAGAATAGTTGAGCTGTTTTCGTTGCTGCGTGGTGCTGAAACAGTGCTATTGTATTAGACATACGTCAGCATATGAAGTAGGGCTAGGATAAGTGTGGGTTTGAGGGATAGTTGCAACTGTTAAGCAGCTAAAGTTCTCTTCAGATCAGATCAACAATTTCTATTTTTCAGAGATCCAGGTAAGGTTTAGAAAACTATTATTAATCACAGTGTATAACATTTGTAACTTTTTTCGTTTTCTAGCTATATTGAGAAAATTTGTAATTGCGTAATATTTACTTAAATATCTTTTTTTTTTCTGTGCTACAATAATTATTACAAAAGACTACAGAACAACAAAATATGCGCAAATACACGCACACACACACTATCGGTGGGTTATTAGAAAACAGCTATGAAATTGAGTGTTTCATATGCGCTCTGCAAAGAATTAACCACTTGCTTATCATCCATAAAACTAACAAACAAAAGAGTTCAAAATGAGTACTATTCATCTAATTTTATTTTTTTTTATTTTTGATTACAGCTTGATTCCACACTGTATTTTTGATTCAAGTATGGAATTTTCAGCGTGGATATCGGTAGCCCAAATTTTTCAGGCCGACCATAGATATCAGATGTGCGTCGGCGTGGGCTCGAACCCCGGACCATGTGCATGGTCGGCGAGAATCCTAACCACTGTGCCCCCTCTGTCTTTCCCCCTACGCTTTACTTTTTGTGTGCCTTTCTTTATATATACATATATATGTTTCCGCGATTGGTGATTTTGTTTATTTCCTGCGATATCATCAATTTTTATCCCGTCAGTTCTTGTCAACTGCACACGACGACCAGAACTAGTTAGAGTCCGATGATAACCTGATCACATCGATTAGAGAACCACTAGTGAACCCTAGGGAGTACTGGAAAGCTGCTTCGTCTTAGTCTTAAATCCTTTATCAGCAGAGTGATTTCAAGAAGGTTTGAATTAAGAACTTCCCGGCTATACGGTGAGCTTGAGGACCATTCAGACTGACGTATTCCAACCTCTTCGCAAATTCACTTTATAAAGTGTAATCGCCAACAAACGTCACTGGGGAGTTAGTGTTCTCTTATCTGAATCTATGGAATTCATACCTTCAGAAATTCACAAGTAACATGAATATTATATAAGTTCAAACCAAATTAACTTTTCCATATTAGTTTGCTTATTAGATGTATCACACAGTAAGTGAAACAGTATTATTCACTGGAGGAGATGACAAAGTTTCGAAAAAAAAGTTTATTGTTCATAATTATATCAATTGTAATCACACGACTTTGAAACTTGAGTTATATAGTTTTCTTCGTTCTCCCCAATTTATCGTCGTCGTTGAGGTAGTAGAATTTTCCAGATGTCGGGATGGACAGGTGTTGCATCATTCCTATCACATATATTTGCTGTTGATTCGATAAACAAAGCTTCTGTTATCAATCTCTCTCTCCATTCACCCTGTGACACTAGATTTTAAAAGTGTTATCCTATCCCATTCTCATGTATGGTTGTGTGTAGTGAGTGCTATAGCCGAACTTTTCTCTAGATTTCTCATCTTATTTGGGTCAACCAATCTAGATTTTGCTGCTAGGTTTTATGCTCCGCTAGTCTGACTGCCCCTGTTCTAATACTCTGACCTATGTTTTTGACCTCGCCGACAATCATTGCTGCAGCAGGGTATTATATAAACTAAATTGTTTTGTTTTAAAGGCTCCACTGGCAGGATCCTTTAACCGGCAAAGCTTGTTTCTCAATTTGGAAACAAATAATACTGTTTCACTATGTGATACATCTAATAAACAAACTAATATGGAAATAGCTGTCTTTTTCCCATATGGAGAGCCTTGTCAAATGTTATTGTAAACACTCTGATTGTTTTCAATTTTGAGCTGGGAGTCTGTTTTGTCTTTATCTAGGACTCTTTATCAAGACTCACTTATAACCCATTCACAGAGGATTGAAACCAAAACTTCCTGTTAGTAAGATGAACGTATTTAGCATTTGGTCGACGAGTTCAATGGCCCACGAATTCTAGCTTCTTCCAATTTCTAACATATAACTTTGACTGTTGGTCAGGATGAACTTGCGCAGCTATTACCTCACCGGGTAACAAATCAAGGTACAAGAGGAAATACTGCGCCTGCTTTCGATCTGTAGTGATAGTGATAGTCATTGGTGCATACTACTAGAGAGTCACGAACAATGTATGAAACATCCATCTTGTACTCCGTTAATCGAAAATAAAATCAATTGAACACATTTGTTTAAGGTGTGAACAGTTTCATTACATGGTGTGTTTGTTAACGGGTGGTGTCATATATGGAGGCAACTTTTTCCGTTCAAGCCTAGGATAGGATAGGAAACAGCAACTTTTCTCTTCAAATTGAGTTACATAACCCTTTCGTTGTTTTCAATTGTTTGAAAGCTATTCTTCTCTTGCAAACATTTTTTTTCTAAATTATGAGTGGTGTTAGCCTTTAAAACATGGTTTTACGCCTAAGCTTTTTTGAAAAAACCAAGAAGTACTTGATTGGAGTTTTCCTTGCTTTGTATTGACATGGCGTTTTCATGAAGCTGGCGGTTTTTTAAACCAATTGTGTTCCAAGTTATCTGTGTGTGTGTGTGTGCATTGCTATATACTATTTGACTGCGGCCCCCAGTAACTGATTGGACGAAAGTATTTTGGGTGCGTACTGATGAAGAGTCCGAAACTAGGACGAAACAGCTATCCAGTACTCTCAGTTGGTTTTCCAATGGTTCTCTAACTAATGTCAGCTCATTATGAAATCCTGTAACCAATCAATCAAGTCCCTACAAACCAACACTTGAATATTTTGCTCCTAGAATGAACTCTTCAATGATATCCGAGAACTAGCTTGAACTAATTTCACTGGATGGTGGATGGTTCATCCTATATGGGACCGGTCATTTAGGCACACCCGCATTTCATATAGACAGTGATGATGCTCCCTCACTACAACTTGAACACAACTAATTACTTAAACACCTAGTGAAAATCACTTCAAATACTAAGGCGCATTATCCACTAAAACTGCTTGGGCTGGAAGCACAATGGGAACACCATCATTCACAGGAAATGCAGCGGTACATCTAAATAACGAGTCTCAACTAATAATAAATACACATGAGTGGATTCCACTTCTATCCAGGTATCCATCGAATTATTTCGAATAACTTCTTACTGTCTAAATAAGATAACAAAATAAAAATCTGTAGCTCCTGGAACACGTATATAACATTCGTTTTCTTGCATTACGAGTGTGAGTTTTATTAGCGATGATAATAAATATTGCTTTTCGGTGATTAGGTTCGCTAAACTCACACCGAACCCAACTGTCTTATTCGGGGCCACTATCGGCTGGCAAACTAGATGACATTTTAAGGAGTAAGTCCACCGTCAATCGATTTCCCACTGCATAGTTTGTGGGTATTTTATCACTGAAACACTCAATGCATGTTTATCTTAGAGCTACACAGAAGTCAACTCACTTGAAATCTGACTATGATAGTTTCTTTTAGTGTTCTTTTATAGCTGGACATCTTTGCATCATTTTTGGTGTGTGTATGTGTGTGTAGTTTAGATTTTGATGTTGTCGATTGTCATCATAAATTAAAAGTTGTCCCGTTTTTTTAAAAACTTTTGGTTGGATCACTTTTTGTTTTATCACAGTGTTTTTTACTTTCCATAAACAAAACTATGAGTTATTGTTATTTTTATTATCCCCATGGGGTCTAAGTGCAGTGTACAGCCTCAAAAATGCATATCCACCCAATTTTTTATATTTTATAATGTCCTCTTCAGCTGTTTGGCCTCACGGCTGCTTATTATGTCCCATCTCTTCCTCCCCAACAAGATATCATCAATGTCACCGTCGCATTGATCACTTACTCGTCTCCTACGAGTCAGATTCCACTAGGGCGATGGCATGCACTGAACCCGGTGTAATTCGATAAGCTCCTTAACGTAGGCTCGGCCGACCCATTTCCATTTCCGCCTACATATTTTTTGAGCAATCGCCTCTTACTTGTTGGTTCGCTCCACTACAGTGTTACTTATTGCTAGTTATTTATGGCCAGCCAGCCGGCCGGATATTTGATATTCAGTATGGAGCCGGCCAGCCAGCGAAGTGAGCAGCTGTTGGTATTACGCCTGAAATCACTTCTTGGAAATCCTTTTACGGACACGCTTGCGATGAAAAAATTCTATGTTTCTGTCATTTTCAAACAGTGCGTGAATAGTTTGTCTGCTAACCTTTGGTGAAGCTGGGAGTACCGGACAGCTGTTTCGTCCTACTGCTTGGGACTCTTCATCAGCACTCACCAAACATAGGATTTCGAATCCGGGGCATTCTGGTTGCAAGACTAGCGATCTGGTAGACCATTAAGCCACTTGGACCTGATCCAATGACCAACTCAAGTAAACCAAACTTCCGCTAATTCATGAAACCGCATGATCACTAGCCTTTATCATCTGTGGAGTGTATTTCTCCTAACGCACGATCGAATCCCTACAAGCGAATATTTGAATATCAATGAGATTTTCTCTAGTGGCTGGCCTTATTCACGTAGGTAGTTACCTGGGGTTCTAGTGAGAAATCGTAACCATCAGGGTACAACAGGTCGGGCTTGTTGACGAATACTCCTCGAAGACATTGGTAAGTGGGCGCGCTATTTAGTCAATTGGCAGGAATTTGAATTCATGGGTTAGCGATAGGATCAGGTCCCAGTGGCCGAATGGATTACAAGACCACCTTGTAATCAGTAGGTGCTTGGCTTGAACCCCGGTGGTAGTTGCGTACTGCTTAAGAGTCCCAAACTCTGACGAAACATCTGTTCAGTAATCCTCGCAACTTTTGCTGTGGTACTCTAATCCATGTCAGCTCATAATGAAATGCAATCAATTGTTGGAGAGATAATTTTCATTCCAGATAACGTTAACCAGAAACCTAACATCCGTCGTGGAATCGATGAAGATCAGGGAGTAATACGCAGTTATTCTCAGCTGGGTATGGATCCATGAGTGTGTTATTATCCCGCTTCTCTGGGCAGCCTACTTACTTATAGACTTCGAACGTTTCTTAGATCACAAGTTTTAAAGAAATGTAACTTGCTTATTTCCTGACTTTATGGACATCGGAATAACTGTTAACATGATCATTTTCTAAAGAACCCTAGCTAGGACGAAACAACAACTAAATATTGATTCATGGTGAAATACACCATTCAGGTTCTCAAATCTCTGTAGATTTCAGATTCATTTTTGATTTTCCTCGCGAATCAAAGTCAAATAGAGAGAAAGAGATGATTGAAAGCCAGGAAACACACTAAGCGGCTGTTGT